GAGGCACCCCCGGCGATAAACCATGTCTCGAGCGGTCTCGAGGCACAACTTGCGCAAATCTCGGGACGTTTGCAGAAGCTGGAAACGCGCCAGTCGAGAGGGCATTCTGTATCTAATAACTGGCATGGCTTTCGTCGAAACAGAAGTAAGAGCCGCAGCAGAGCAAGAGGCGGGTACTGCTATAAACACTGGAAATTTGGCGCGGACGCATATAGTTGCCAACCGCCCTGTAATTGGGGACGGGACCGCCAGAGGAGTCAGGAAAACGCTTCGTCCGGAGGCCCACGGCGGCAGGCGTCTCCGGGACCGGGAAACGCCGCCTCATAATTAAAGATAGGATTAGCAATATAAGTTTTTTAATAGATACAGGCGCGGACGTGTCCATTATACCTGCGACGAGAGGGAAGCAGGTCAAACCCTCCGAATTGATATTGTTCGCGGCTAATGGAACAAAGATCCCAACTTTTGGAGAACAGCAGATGGACTTAGACCTGGGATTTGGACGCGGAATGCGCTGGGCATTCGTGGTTGCCGATGTTAGCCGAGCGATAATAGGCACGGACATTTTGTCCTACTTTCATTTGATCATCGACGTACGACGTCAGGTACTAATTGACGGTCATAGTCATGTTGAGGTATGTGCCCATTCGGAGTATTCTGATTTTCCGACGATCCGTCGAGTGTCGGCTGACGGGCCATATAGAAAGCTGCTAGCCGAGTTTCCAGGGTTGCAGCGCGCGTCAGCGACACCGACAGGGAGCGCTCATAACGTAGAACACCATATTGAAACAACGGGACCACCGCTAACTGCCAAAGCCCGTCGATTGGCGCCTGAAAAATTTAAGGCCGCAAAGGAGCAATTTACGCAGATGATTAAGCAGGGCATCTGCAGACCATCAAAGAGTCCTTGGGCGAGCCCTTTACATTTAGTGCTGAAGAAGAATCAGGAGTGGAGACCGTGCGGTGATTACCGACGGCTAAACAAAGTCACTATACCTGATAAATATCCAATTCCGTTTCTGCAGGACGCTGTGTCTTTCCTACACGGAGCGAAGATCTTTTCCACGATTGATTTGGCCAGAGCTTACCATCAAATACCTGTCCGAA